CCAACAACGTGGGAGGGGTGAGGGGAGAGGCTGCCAGTGAAGACTGAGGCAAAAAAGGTGTTGAGTACCTCAGCCTTCTCCTCACCTGCTGTTACCAGCTTGCCAGTCTTGCTCATCAGCGGGGGTACGCTTTCTTTAACCATCCTTTTCCGGCTGATATACCTGTAGAATCCCTTCTTATTATTTCTATCCCATACTATAAAATTACAAATATGATAGTATTAGAATGAGGCTGGATCCACACAATATAGTCTGCCTGGCAGCAAACCAATTAAAGCTGCTCTCAGCATATAGTTTTTCAGTTATGCTATAGAAGAGTAGACCAACGTAGAGTATCGTATAAGACAATGTCATTACCTAAGTGACACAAAGAAAGCAGAATACCAAGGAGAATTAAAACAACTTTACACTGAGAGTATATTTCCCATGGTGGGAAAACTCTCAGCGTAACACCTGCAGACACAGTTCTGTAGTTTCCCTTACCATCACTGGCTTCTGAAAGAGAAAAACAAGTTCAATTTGAGACCAAAAGCAGAGTGTAGTAGAATAAAAGCCAAAGTCAACTAGTTTGATTTGGTGCACTGAGAGGTATAAGGCTGAGTTGGCTTCAAGTATTCAATCCTATGGAACGTATGGTCAGCAAAACAAAAAACATAGGATTGTTCATTTTAATGTACCTCCACAGAGAGTTTGAAATGGCAAATACCCCATGTTTAGGCAACTGTGTCCCGTTCTAGAGGATAAGCAAAAGAGTGTATAAGTGCTATCTTGTTCCTTGATATGCAAGATGGGGTAGAGTCTTTTGTATTAGGAAAAATAAAATTTTCAAGTTCCAGGCTTTTTAATCATGTTTGTTACACACAAATTAGTATGCAACTATTTTATTTTGTGACACTATGTTAAAATGCAAAGGCGTTGATACATTTTTAATACTGGAGTTCAGTTACTGGAAACAGCGTTGTTGTTCTTCAATAATTATTTGAATTAAGGCTAAACTGAGTAACTGCTAAAGCTCAGGCTGAGACCTACTTCCCATAATCTTAAAGCACATGCTTTCCTCATAAATCATGATGTGTAGCCTCTGATGGGACTGTCCCAAATGATTTTGCAGTGATCACTAATAAGTAAAGATCCTTCCACTTGTATATTTCTTTTTATTTAAAGGACAGTGGAATACACTGTTAATAGTTATACTGGAAATACTTTTAAATGGAATTTTTTAATTAAATTCTGAAGTTACAAGACAAAAAGAAAAAAAAAGAAAAAAAGATCTAAATGTGCTGACTCAGCTTCCAGATAAGAAAAATATGCCTAACGGTGGTCAGGTCATTCTATCTGTGCCTTAAAATAAGGGAAATCAAGCAAAGAGTGGCAGCAGCAGCTGGAAACACGTGCCTGTAGTTCCAATTTATTAAACACAATTTATTCATAAAACTTGAGGAAAGCACAGCACAGCTGCAGAGCAATTATGGAAAAAAAAAAAGAAAAAAAACCCTTCAGAAGTGATGAATAACGATGCCACTAAGGAAATAAGATCTGTCGGTGGAGTTAGAAACACTCAAGCTTAACAAGTGCTTTTTTTAGAGAACAAGTCTTCACATAATAAGTGTTAGTTGCTATGGATGCTGGTTTTTACTTCTGATATGTCTTCTTTCCTGATTACTGGAATACTTCCTTCTAAAAACCTCCACAATCTTAAATCTGCTTAAATTCTGTTAATCCATAACATGCTTTCTTTAAAATATGAACATTGGGAAGCTGGCTGACACTTCTAAAGAAGTATGTGAGTGGGTGAGCGAATATACCCATGTCCAAACCAGTGTAACTCACAAGCATATTGCACCTTTTTAAATTCAGGAGCTGCAACCTACTCTCCATTTTCTTCAGTCTGAATATTGCCAGAATTGCAGTATCTGTCATTCTTCATCTTTATGATATATAAATTAGGCAGAAATGCTCTTCTGCACCTTTTTCAGACAGTGAGCTGAAGCACAGAGAAACTATCGATGATCCAAGAAAAGACTCTTAATTCAGGTTGCCTAATCCACATAAACCAAAACTGGTGAAAAAGCAGTAACTTAGGCAGTAACTTGGTTAGGAGCTGAGGTTTCAAGCATAAACTACCACGACTGTTACTTTAATTCCTATTAGGCAAGCTAAGAACAGGCTCTTCCTCTTGTCCCTCAACACAGACTTGCCTTTGATTACCTGTGAAGACCTACTAGTCTGAAGCCACACAAGAAGATTAGGTTGCATGCTCCAGAGTGATCCAGGCTGGCATTCTGTCAGGGCCTTCCGCAGGGCCAGTTTACTTCTCATTTTAATACACAAGCTTTCGAACTATTTCTACCTACTGCAGAGCAATCTGCAGTTAGGGCAAACTGCTTCAAGCTCCATTTTTGATACCCACTGGTGAAGAATAAGGAAAGGCTTCTCCTAGAATTTACATTCAGAAACATTTTATGGCTGTTGGGAGAATAAGGTCCTTAGGGCAAAGTGCCAGTCCATCAGGCAAAGGGACTGAACTTCCAGCCTGAGAAGAGGTAAATGCTCCAATTTACTTGGAGTCAGGTGTGCAGGAGATAAAACTCATGTTAACTACTGTGTAGGTACACAGAAGTATATCAATGAAAATTAATCTTTTAAAATTAGCAGTCAGTTCTGCTCTAGCAAATATTAAATTTTGCTATTGCAGTAAATTTATGTTCTTAGGAAAAAAGTGTGTAAAATATTTAGTAGTTGCGATCAACACAAAAGTTTCTATAAAAGTGCATTTGTAAGGTATAAAAGTAATAATCAAGTACGATAAATACCTACACATCATCTCATCATGCATTTCATACTGTATAAATAAACATTCCCTGGTTGCCATATAAATAAGGTAGCAGTAGACACTACTGGAGTCCAGTAATGTTATGTAGGGCTTCATTATTAAATCCTTTCTTAAAAAAACCCCAAACCAACAGTGGTTCTAAAGGAAGCACCGATGATATCAATTGACATGCATAAAACGCTCATGTTCTTAAGCATTTCAGGAATAACTTACATAGCAAAAAAATAAGAGTTTTAGTCATGAAAGAGTTAAGGAATACCTTCAGAACAAAGCTGTACTTGGTTGGCCATATATCAAATCATTAAACCAAAAAAATAAGTAACACGGACGGAATAATTTACCTTTTCGCCTTCTTCACCTTTACTACCTGCAAAGCCACGTTCACCCTGCAACACAAAACAATAAACTAAAAATCTCAAGCAAATATTCTTCAAATAATTACATTCTTTAAAATAGTTTTATTGCACTGAACTTTTATTATGGGATTAAAACAGATGAAATTGTTTGAATACTGACTGTCTCTCATTCAACAGGTGTGAAACCTCTACAAAAAAATGACATGACTTTCCACAGTTTTGTCAACTAACAGTAGTCAATCATTTTTCCATTCAGCCTAAGGGATCTTCTTGGCTTTAAAAATTCTGAACTATTCATTGATGTTAAACCCACTTGTTACAGTCCTCCTATTCTTCTGTAGAACCGGTTTCAACACATTTATTCTTATTAAGACCTTCATTTTAATTTTCAAATATGACTATTCAGTTGTGAAGGCCTCCAAAATACAGAACAATTGAGAAAAATACACAGATACAATTTCCTGAAAGAAAACTCATTCCTTTTACTTTGAAAACCACATCCAATTACCCAAGTATCAGAAAAAAAAAAAAACCAAACCAAACAGGAGTGCTTGTTGAAATATTAATTCAAGCTCAGCTCATTTCAGCAGATTGAATTATTTATTTGATGGTCTTTCAACAAAAAGACCTGCTATAATGCTCTTCCAGCTCCAACTTGATAACTTTTAGCTCAGAAAAAGATCTTAATGTAAATCTTACTATGTTAATGCCTTTGTCAAATAGTCTGCAGCCTGGCTATAGTATAACAAGAATAACACCTGTTATTACCATACACTTGTATGTTTTGTGAGATGTACAGCAGATATACAGCCAAAATTCTATACTTGTAGCACAAAAACTGTCTAATAAAAAACCCCCAAACATTCTCTTTCTCCCTCAAATCATCTAGGAAGAGATGGTTTGCATGTCTTTTTCAGTCTCTAGAAATCAGTCTCACCACCTCAGTACAATGTACATGATTTTTACAGGTCTGAAGATGAAGAGACTGGAAAATTTCCAAAGTAAAGCATATGGTATTTTCTAAATTATTTTCAAAAAATTAGAATTGAGCAATACCTAAACATTCTTTCACCCTTCAGAGTGTCATTTCCTTATACAGAAGTCTAAGGTTTAAGAGAGGTTAACTAGAACAGCAAGCTACAACTTGCAATATTTCTAGCAGCATTTTGTCAAATCTTTCAACTATAGCATCATGTACCACACATCTGGGAATTAAATTCAAACCTTTGATGTATAGATTATCAAATAGTTCTGGACTTTTCATCAACCATTTACAGTATCTGCTTTTTGTTTGCTTTCTTTTGGCCGGGGTGGCTCATGCAATTAACAGGTTAGGGGTCAACTTTAGAATGCCCAAGACCAAGCATGCAAAATGGGATCTAATGAAATAACCTTCCATATGTCCTCACCTAAAAATGAGTAGTTAATTGCTGAAATGATTTCTGAATGTATACGACTTTTGTTCTGCTCATCTAGTTTCCTCTTCTCATGGATGGTTGGACCAGGAGATCTTCCAAGATCCCTTCCAACCTGAGTTGTTCTATGATTCCCATTCTTCAACTGTTGGACATACAACACAGCTAACATCTATTCACTTTAAACAAATTCCTGGAAACAAAGTGTTTTCTTCATTTAGTTTTCCCATTTGTGAGACTGCATATCCTGTCTTTACTCAATTCCCAATTCATTACATAAAAGTTATTCTTGCAGTCAACATTTCTCTGGTTGTAGCTTGTGTCCATTGCTTCTTGTCCTTTCACTGTATACCTGTGACAAGAGTCTGGCTCTGGCTTCTCCGCACCTTTCCAGTATTTATAGACAGCAATGAGTCTGCACACCACCCTCTACCTTCCCTCCTTCCAAATCATCTCATCTTAAGGCTGAACAAGCCTAGCTCCCTCAGCCTCCCCTCATACATCATGGGCTCCTGGCCATCTTGGTGGGCCTCCACTAGGCTCGCCCCAGTGAGCTGCTCTCTCTCCTCCCCTGGAAAGCCCCAAACTGGACACAGAACTCCAGATGCTGTCTCACAAGTGCCGAACCATCACTCCTCCTGACCTGCTGGCTATGCTCTTGCTAAGGCAGCCCAAGATGAAGTTAGCCTTCTCCACCACAAGGGCACCCACCAGGACCCTCAATCTCTTTTTCTGTAGAGCTGCTTTCTAGCAATTTGGCACCTAGCCTGTACTACTGCATGAGGCTACTCCTTCTCAGAGGTAGGACCTCATGTTTGCCTTTCCTTAACTTCCTGAATTCTGCATTAGCCCTTTTCTCCAGTATGTTGAGGTCCCACTGAATATCATCCTTGCTCTACCTTCCAGTGTACTACTTCCCCACATTTGAGAACATCCACAAACTTGCTAAGAATCCCATCACCCGTGTTATTAATAAAGACACTAAATAATACTGGCCCCAGCATGACCTCATGGGGAATGACACTAGTTACTAGGCAGCAGTTGGACTGCATAGCAGTTATTCCACCTTTGAGCCCAACAATCCAACCAATGTTTCACCCATCTTATTGTTCATTTATCCAGTCCATATCTCACAGATTTTACTACAATGATATGACTGCAGACTGTGCCAAAAGCCTGGCTGAAGTCAAGGTATACAACATCCACTGCTCTCCTCTAATCCACACAGTCATCTTATCAGAGTAGGCAATCAACGTTGGTCAGTCATGATTTGTCCTTGGTGAATCCATACTAGCTGTTCCCAGTCACCTTCTAGTCCTTCATGTGTTTAGAAATGCTTTCCACGATTTGCTACATAATTTTTTTCAGGGACAGAGGCGAGGCTGACTGGCCTGCAGTTCCCTAGACCTTTCTTGAAGATGAATGAGGTATTTGCTTGTTTCAAATCATCAGAAACCTCCCCTAGTCATCATGGTCTTTTGCTAATGACAGAGGGCAGCCTTGCAGTGACATCAGCCAGCTCCCTCAGCACCCCTGGATGCATATCTTGCAAATGTCCAATTAGCTTAAGTGCTCCTTAATGCTCTCTTCCCCTTCAGTGGGTAATGGCTCATTCTCTCACACTCTGCTAGGAGGCTCAAGTACCTGGGAGGCCTAAGGGCAAACTTGATTAGTGAAAACCAAGACAAAAAAGCTATTGGGTGCTCTTGGCCTTTTCCATGTCTCCCACCCCATTAAGCAGTGGGTCAACATTTTCTTCAACTTTGTTTTTGCTACGGATGCATTTAACAGAAGCCCTTCATGCTGCCCTTCAAATCCCTCATTAGTTTCAATTCGAGATGAGTTTTTGGTTTTTTAACTCCATCGCCACACGCTCTGGCAATATTTCTGTATTCCTACTGGGTAGCTCACCCCTGCTTCCACTATTTACTTTCTTTTTGTGTCTGAGCTCAGTCAGCAGCACCCTATTCATCCATACTGGCCTTCTGCCATGCTTGCTCAACCTGCTGCACATCAGAATGGGCTGTTCTTGAACTTTCAGCAAGCTGTCCTTGAAGAACAGTCAGCAGGGCTCCTTAGGCTACAGGACAGGCTCGATTGCTCTTTGGCCTCCTCTTTGCCAGACTCAAACTTAGCTCCTTGAAACTTTCCACAAAGGTCTTGTTTTCTAGGCCCCTGAACGTACACTAGCTCCCTGCTGGACCCGCTCTGGTTTCTCCACATCTCTTGAAGAAGTGAGGGTGGAAGACCCCCCAGACATAACACAACATACCAGATGCAGCAACCACCCAGCAAAGGAGGGAAAAACACCTTCCCCTGATCTGCCAGCTGCAACTCTACTAATGTAGTCCAATATGTGGTTCACTTTATTCCCAATGGAACACTGTTACCTTATACCCAGCCTCATGCCCACCTCCATGTCCTTTCCAGCAATGCTGCTGCTCAACCAGTCAGTTGTCTGCCTGTACCAATGTATAGAGTGATTAACTAACTCCTTCTTTTTCAGAAATACAGCCTAATGCACATATTTTCATTTAAAAAAAGTATTTCCAATTAGCAAAAATAAGAAATACTGTCAACAGAAAGTATAGAGAAAGAAATTTAGGCAATTTCCACTTGACAGCATTAAAAACACAACAAAATTAGTCACCAGTAAGTTACTTCAAAGAATTCTTATTCTGCAGAAATAAAAATGTGGAAGTTGCAAAATAACACATTTATGACTGACTTAAATTCTCCTTTCTGTGGCAGAATTCCAATACTAAGTTAGGAAAAACATCTCACACAAGGTTTTTCATGGACAAACACTGATTACTCATCTTGATACTCACTGCAGGATTGCTGATCTGATTTTCAGTGCTTTAAACATGCCTGCAGTACAAGTCAATGAGATCCTGGCTTTGAATGTATAAATTGATAGATTGTGATAAGTACGTTGCAGAACTCAATGCTGGCTACCTCACCTGCAGAAAATAAGTTCCTTCCTTCCCTTTGTGCTGTATTACAGGAATTATCTGCCCTAAAGATACATAGATCAGCCCTTTGCATCAAGATCACACTGCAGAACATTTTCTTGAAATTTTAATATGAACAAAATATTTTTTTTTGTGTAGTCCCTTTCTTTGTGGAAGCAGCCAGAGCTATTTCCCCTACAACTTTCTAAAAGGAATTAGCTGGACAGCCGCATGTGGCGTTAAGATTTCATTCCAAATACTTATGGTTAAACACAGCTGTGACCAAGAGAAAACAAAATTTGACCATGAAAACAGTCGGACAACTTTAACAAATATTACCAGCAATATCTATAATACAGGTGTCTCTTTTTGCAAGTTCTGGCCCTCCTACAATATTCCACCTTTGGAAAGGAGCAAAAGATTAAAATGGAAGAGTGGATGAAGCAGTGCCCTCCCTCATCTCATTTTGCTGAGGTCACAAGACTCAAATTTCAAATTTTTGAGAGTCTGCTATCTTGTGGCTGGAAAGACCTGCACAGTTCTGAGACTTAGGCGGCAGTTCTTAATGCAAAATACTATCAATAGGCAGGTTAGTGCCACTGCCCCTCACATCCTTCTCTTTTGAAGGAGATGCTGATAGCAAAGTTCCTCTGTCACATTATACAACTCAGAAACTGGATATGTAATTCAAATCCAATTTATGTAGATACTGGACAGCTGGCAAAAAGGATGTTTAGAGTGAAAATACATAAAATGAGACTGCTTTTTTTTTTTTTTTTTACCTTGGAACCAGTAAGACCAGGTATGCCAGGAGCACCTACTAAGCCAGCTTCCCCCTGAAATAAAATGTACATAGCCATCATTTTACAGACCTAACTCATGACTGAGCTAAATTAAGAGAAAAAAAAAACATCTGGACATGTATTGCTTCTCATTCCTTTTCTACAGAACAGCTGAATTGATTTCTAGGGTTGTTTATGTCTGTTGACTTATAATTGGTTAAAATACATTTCACTTTCAAAATATTAGGCAATTAACAATTACAGGTTATCTAATATGCAGCAGATACATTTTGTCTGTAGACATCTGGACGACAAAAAAGATTAGAGTTTGAATCATGTGAAAATCTGTCTCAAGTTTTATTTCAGGCTCCGACTGATAAAAAAAATACTTCCAAAGACACTTACATACTACCCAAGTACCTAAACTCCCAACAAGGGTGCCACTGCTTCCATGCTCTCCCTCATACCTATTAGGTGCTTGAGCCCACAGGGATCTACACTTGAACTGTTAGGTCCCGCAGGAAGTTGTACCTATGACGTAGACCGCTGGTTTCTAGGCTCTGCTCAGTCAAAGGGGAGTTTCAGATCTTTTCCCCATCTCTAGGGGAGTGTCTAACCTACTCAGCAGGAGGAAATGCTAATCTTGAACCTGTGCAACCAGGCAGACAAAAATCTGTTTCTCCTACTTCCAAAGAGAATGTTCTGTATATGTTGTTAAATTACTGCCTTCTCTGCCCCATGTTTTAAAAGAGCAAAATAAGTCAACTGTACATTTGACTGTCAGTCACCCTCCACCCTCCCAAACTACTTTCTCCTTGCACTGCCCATGAAAATTAAGAATCTGATTCGGGTTTGTAAATTCTGTTCAAGAAACCAGATGCTTAAAAGTTATGCTCAGCACTGAGCATAAGTACAAACAAGCACCATGTTAACCAAAAATGTTTTTAAAAGGTAACTATCCAAAGTTGAATAGCATGGTAAACTTCAATATCTGAATAAGGACTACCTGAGCAAAAGAAAAAATATATCAATAGCTCTGAGTTCAAAGCTACAGACAATTCAATTCTGCTTTCAATATTGGGCTTTCCAAGGAAGCAGTATAGTTAAAAACCTAGAAATATCTCATTTAGAATAAAAAAAAAAATTGCAACTATTTCCTTTCCCATTCCTTCTTAGCAAAGCTTGTTAAACAATTACAGACCTACTGAGAACCAGGCTCTGCCACTGAAAGCTAAGAACCACCCTCCATTTACAGATTCATGAGATATGCTACCGTGAAGTACTTTAATTTTGGACTCAATAAATCTAAAGTTACTGAGATAAGTTCTGTTAGAAGAATTCATCTGTTCTCATATGACTTCAAGTGGGAGCTTAGGAGACTTATTAAAGGAATCTAAAATCAAATGCTTTCTCCATTCCATTCATGGGTCTTAATTCCTTGACAGAAGTTTGCCCTAGTAACTCGCACGCCATCCAATTCAGTTTTCTCGCCAAGCCAAAATTCAGCAACAAAAGAAAGTTTTGAAAGTTCACTCATTTGATTCTAAGCCAAGCAAAAGACAAATGCCTTACAGACGCAAAAAAAAGAACAAGCAGAGACAAAGGAAAAACTCCAATCTCTCTAACAACAGAAAGAGACAATAAAAGAACAATTATTCATCAAAATGATACAAGTAATTAAGCAAATAAATACAAAGCGATCATGATATACAACAATTAAAATACAGCTTAAAATAGCTTGTTAAAATGGCATTTTTCTAACTCCACTCATGGCAGAGTTTCCAATTTCTTCCTTCCAGCTCCCCTCTGTAAAAATAGATGCTAGCGTGCTGGGGAAAAATTCTAATTAATCATTACAAGTAATCCTTAGTCCTTCATTTTCTCCAGATTTACAATGTGAATTCAGAAAAATTCTTCATAGTCTAATAGTTACCAGATAATAATATTTCATCTTGTCTGCTATACTGGATCACTCTAAACTAGAAAAAACGCCACATGCACTGTTTTTATTGTGAGGACAAGCCAGAGATGTTTTGCCTTGCACTGTTTAATCAGTGTTCTAGAAATGATTATCCCTTCAACACAACAATGCAAAAATAACCTCCTACATCAATACTGATTCTTATTAAATCCAAAATGATTAATGTTGTGGTTGATTTAACTATTTCAGAAACATGCAGTGTATTTATAATCAGGGTTCTTAACATATTTACCATTTATTGATTTTGTAATTTATAATTGTACTGCAACTTGCTGTAAATTAGGGATTCAGTTTATACCTAAAGGCAGAGTAAGATGCTTGATATGTGTGTACTTCCCAACTTTCTTAGAATGCGTTTACATTAATTCGTATACCATGACTTCCATATTTAGCTATTTTTCTCCCTAAATAAGGTATTTTCACATTAAAAAAGATTTGGAGAAAAGAAAGACTATTTTAACATACAGGTATGTGAACTTTATTAAGTGCATCAGTTACTTGTACTACCAAACAATACAGTGCCAAAAATGAATTTGGTATCACATTAACTAATTATTAGGGAAAAAAAAAAAAAAAAAAAAAAAGAGTTGAGAAAAATCAGAGAATGCGTTTTGCTATTTAGAACATTTTAGACATAACTCATTTTATAATACCAATCATGCTGGGACTTCATAAGCTTCTCTTCAAGGCTGGGAAAGAGAAACAATTGCTGTAAAATGTTTAAACCATTTTTCAGATATGATTCTGCAAAATTAAAAAAAAAAGCCAAAACCAAAGAAGAAGTCAGATGCTTCTCTGTTCTCCATTTGAAGAACAAACATTTTTCCTTTTATTTTTAAATTTACTGGGGCAGTGCCAGGAACTTGATTTACAGAATAGGCTTGGTACTCCAGCATTACTAGCAAGGAAACTCACCTCAATAGAAGTAAAATCAGTGAGGTCAAACACTACTTACTGTTTTGATAATTTATGGATATGTGCCTTCCATTACCCTGGGTATGCCAGACTCTTGGAATAATCTAATAGCCCAGTGTTTTAAAATGAGGACAACTATTTTTAGCATTGCAGAAATGGAGCGGAATGTTCAACAACGTACTGTCAAGTGGGCTCAGCAGCATCCTCCCCATGGAGCATGTACTGAGCCACCAGCAGGGGCAGAGTCTGTCCTTTAAGAAATAAAAATCCCACACCAGTTATACTCCATTATATGACACCTTCCTTTAGCCTACTGGAGCATTTCCTTGTTTCTTTAAACAGGCTCTTGTTAATGGTTAGGATCACCTGATAGAATATTAATTACATAAAAAGGCATTCAGCTGATATTTACTAAGACTCGCTCTGTGGATCTCCTGGATTAGTCATGTCAGGAAGTTTCTGCTAAATATTATGACATTTTGGTTTCACTGCACCTACTGATCCTTTTGTTCACACTTGGTTCCTGCTG